ACTGACCCTCGGTTGACTAAAACAATCATATTGAGGCGGACACAGTTCAGCTAGCTGGCTATAGTCATTCATTTGCAACCAGGATTCAGTTAAAAACATAAAATCTAGATTTGCAGACAAGATAAAATCATTTAAGATAAAAGTCTTACTTGAAAGTGATCTCACATTGAAGAGAGCCATTTTAAATGAGTTTGTTCTGGGTGCTGGAGTTGGTGCAGTTGTCCTAATCCTTAAGAGATTACTAATATTTCTGTGTGGGATGTGCACATTTCGGTTTACTGGTCTATGCGTGATGATGACAGCAATAGAAGTTTTGGAACAGCGCTGGGAGCAGACGGCTTTACATGCCAGCAGGTGGAGACAGTTGTTTGTGGCAGTGAGCCAGAGATCTGTTCAGTGAGCGGTGGTGCGTCCAGGTGTGCTGCATGAATGATTAGTCATTCACGTAAGTCATGTGTGGACCGCACCACATGCTGTATGTGAGCAGCTAACATTTCTGAGCCCCGTTTGTTTGGGTGAAGTCCGTCTGTCTTAAAAAGAGACATTCTTTGCCAGAAAATATTAAAGTTATCCACATAACACACCCGATGAGCCCTGCAGGTGGACTGGAGCCAGTCGTGGAGGCCAAGGAGTCTACTGAAGCGGCCAGCACCGCGACCAACTGTGGGAATGGGACCAGAGACAAAAACAGACTTTCCACACTGCTTTAAAAAGTTAAGAAGACGGTTAAAAACTGATTTTGTCAGCTCAGACTGCTGAAGAGCTGTGTCATTTGTTCCGACATGGACTATCACTCTTGTGATGGAGGACGGGAGCGACGGCATCAGGTCCTGGAGTTTTTATAAAATGTCAGCCGTGGTGGCACCGGGGAAGCAGTGAGTGGTAGCGTTAAAGAAACGGATGTTTCTGGTTATGGAGAAAAGAGGACGAGGAGATGCCGGTTGTGGGGTTCCAGAGCAGGACTGAGCAGAATCTGCTTCTACACTGTGTGCGGACTGAGGATGGAGTGTGTGTGTGAGCACCGGAGTGTCGTTAGACAGGGCTGCATAGCGGTTGGAGAGGCCGATGTGCGGAGGAGAGGCAGCCCCATCCGAGCCTCTCTTGCAGCCACGGACCACCACTTCAGCCCAGGTTGACTGATGCTTCGGAATCGAGCAGGATGAAAGCCTGGGAAGGCTAGAGGGGTCCCAAAACACGGTGTCCTGGATGTTAGCGGTTGCGCTAAGAGAAACAATCTGTTTGGCTTGTACTGAAGCTGCATCCATAAAGCCAGTCAGCAGGGAATCTTGCGCTTTGAGTTCCTCTGAAAGTCGTCGGATATCTTCCATAAGGTCAGCAATCTTCTTGTTCGCTTTCTTAAGGAGTGTGCAGTCCTCATGGGGCAGAGTTATTTCGGCTATCATAGTCACCGGAGCTTTGTTGCGATCAGTAGCGTTGATCGCGTTTTTACGGTCATCTAGCTTAAAATCCATGTCGGATGACTAAAATCCTTAACCCACGTAAAACTTAAGTTAAAAACTTAAGTTAAATAAGAAGGATATAAAAAAGGTAACGAAAAAGAATGGATTAAAACTGGATAAAAGTTCGGTTTAAGACGGAGCTGTGATTAATGGGTGTGTATTGCGTGAGTTAGAGTGGGTGACATCATCGCTAGAGGGCAGGCATCTTGAAATTTCATCTTAAAAATTTCTCTTTAACTCGCTGCCCTGACCACAATTTTAACTCTTCAAACATCATTTCATACTAGAAATGTAGGTATTTTTGTTGTGGTTCCTCACATGTGCTTATCAAATCCCTCGGACTTATAGATTTGGCGCTATGCCCTTCCAAAGGACAAGAGCGCCAGCCAACTCCTCCATAGGCTGCCATTATAAATTCTCCTCGCGCTTTAAACTTTACTGAAAGGGAGAACACATGTATGTATAACTGTGTGTCCCAGCAGGCGCACAGACACACACACACGTTAAAGGAGACTTATTAGGCTTCTTATATTTTCTGTCTTATCTATAATGTTACAGTGTCAGATGTTCATGTTAAACGTGGCCAAAGCTCCACTCTTGGCACTTAATGATGTCATACAGAGCTAGTTTTCCATATATGGTCATTTACCTGCAGCCTCAATAACAACTGGCAACTCCTATGCTTATTTTTCTCTACCGCTGAGAGGCATAATCATCCTGCTTCAGGATCTTGGCCAATCAGAACACAGTGGGCTTTTGGAGAGGGGAGGGGGGGAGCTTAAAGAGACAGGAGCATCTACTGCTTGTTTAAGAGGCTGAAATGAGAGCTTGCATGAAGTTTAGCAATCCAGTTTAGCATCAGCCTTCAACAGCCAGCATTCACACCGAAATTTCTCTGGAAATTGCACTAGTTTCATGTAATGTTTTAAAAAGAGAAAAAGCAACACAACTTAATTAGCTGTTGTAATGTTTAAAATAATTAAGCCGAGCATTGTATTGATGCTTGGGCTACATGTTTAATGCGGTTGCCTAGTGCCTGTGTCGGACAGCTCTCCTACGTCTGCTGACAGCAGAGAATCTGCGAGGTCTCCTGGGTCTGCGAACAGGGCGAGAGGCGTGCATGCGTCTGCGTGGCATTGTCAAAAAACAGCTTGCTGGATGAAACGGCTTCTATTTATAAACTCACCGTGGCAACATCTGTGATGTCACTGATGCTGTCACAATTTCTTTGTGACAAATGCTGAGTCAACCATTCGTGACATCACTGTATTCCATGATGTCACTGACAATGATGTCATTAATGATGTCACAATTTCTGTGATAAATGCTGGCTCAGTGTTTAATGATATAACAGGGTTTGATGATGTCACAGATGATGTCACATCATTGGAATCCATGATGTCACTGATGATGTGACAACTCCAGTGAGACAATCGATTACATCATCAAAGGAACTTCATGATGAGGCTGATGTAATGAAAGCCTCCCATGAACGCTCCAGATTCTTCATCAGTGTTTATGCGGCTTCAGGTTTATTTCTTTTTTCATGTAATGTTTTAAAAAGAGAAAAAGCAACACAACTTAATTAGCTATTGTAATGTTCAAAATAATTAAGCTGAGCGTTGTTTTTATGCTTGGGCTACATGTTTAATGCGGTTGCCTAGTGCCTGCGTCGGACAGCTCTCCTACGTCTGCGGACAGCAGAGGACCTGCGAGGTCTCCTGCGTCTGCGAACAAGGCGAGAGGCGTGTCTGCGTCTGCGTGGCATTGTCAAAAAACAGCTTGCTGGATGTAACGGCTTCTATTTATAAACTCACCGTGGCAACGTCTATGATGTCACTGATGATGTCGATTGATGACAATCGATTACATCATCAAAGGAACTTCATGATGAGGCCGATGTAATGAAAGCCTCCCATGAACGCTCCAGATTCTTCATCAGTGTTTATGCGGCTTCAGGTTTATTTCTTTTTTCATGTAATCAAACTCCAAGTTGTTCGGCTCAATGGGAAATGGGGTGCTATTACTTTTGTCATTGATCCCTTGAATACTTTCCAAAATATTCAAGGTTTTCCAGGAACATTCTAAGTGAATGGAGAGACTGTCAAAATCCTCCTCATACCTACTCCACTTTGAAAGCTCACCAGTTCAGCATTCTTTCAGCTACAGACTTGATTTAAACTGCAAATTGGTCACAAGACGTTACGCTATTAATGATGTATTCAGCGTTTTGATATATTTTTATGGTTTGTTCACTGTTGCTGTGGAAGTTTTATGCTGATTAAAGATCAAAGGACTGGGTCCTCTGTTCTGATTGGTGGACTGAATTTAAGCTATTTTCTGCACACCTGTTTGTGTCCTCTTCACTGAACACATACACAGGCACATTAATACACTGACAGACACAATTTTAACTCTTCAAGCATACACACACAAACACACACACACACAGAGCCCTCAAAGCATGGAGCTTTAAACTTTACTGAATGGGAGAACACATGTATGTATAGATGTCTATTAAGATTCTCAGTCATCCAGGTCATAGTTATCTAACAAAGGTTAAAATCAAGGGCAACTGGACTTGGTTGAAGATACTGGAAGACGTTTCGTCCCTCATCCAAGGGACTTCTTCAGTTCTGACTGACTGGCAGGGAAACTCAGCTATTTAACCTCAGTGGGGTCGTTGGCCCGGGTCATCGATACCGCTGGTTCGTTAGTGTTCCTTGTTGCTGTGACGACAGTCGTTACAGTCGTTAAGACTACCTGTGGCCAAGACTGAACGACCATCGTTGGTATCTTCACCTGAGGCCAATAGTTTACGTTTGTTGAGTTTCCAGCCAGGAAAATTGCAGACTACAGGAACCATCTACGATTCAACCTGAGATGCCGACAACACAAACTTATTCCCAACAGCCTACACTTAGGCTCCACGGTAAAAGGACACAGATCCGGAATAATCCTGGAGAAAGCACAACACCAGCTACTGAACGAGAGAGTGAGACAGATACACTTCACAATTGAAGCCCTGAACAAAGAAATGGACAACATACACCACAAACTAGAAACATATCTGCCCAGTACATCACTGGGAAAGGTCATGGACTTCATCAAGAAAGCACAGCTATCTCAGCACAACAAGAGCAAAGAAAGACAGACCCGGAAATTCCAAAACCTACAGTCCAGAGCGAGCTGCACTAACAGAACAGGAGAATTGTCTTGGAGGAGAAAGGACAATAACCCCACAACACTTGAAACAGACAACAGATGGGTGAAAAACTTGTCAGATAGGGAACTCACCCAACCAGAGAAAGACGTTCTGGCCAAAGGACCCGGGCCAACGACCCTACTGAGGTTAAATAGCCGAGTTTCCCTGCCAGTCAGTCAGAACTGAAGAAGTCCTTTGGATGAGGGACGAAACGTCTTCCAGTATCTTCAACCAAGTCCAGTTGCCCTTGATTTTAACCTTCGTTGGATACATGTATGTATAACTGTGTGTCCCAGCAGGCGCGCAGAAAGACACACACAGACACACACACGTTAAAGGAGACTTATTAGGCTTCTTATATTTTCTGTCTTATCTATAATGTTACAGTGTCAGATGTTCATGTTAAACGTGGCCAAAGCTCTACTCTTGGCACTTAATGATGTCATACAGAGCTAGTTTTCCATATATGGTCATTTACCTGCAGCCTCAATAACAACTGGCAACTCCTATGCTTAGTTTGTCTCTACCGCTGAGAGGCATAATCATCCTGCTTCAGGATCTTGGCCAATCAGAACACAGTGGGCTTTTGGAGAGAGGAGGGGGGGAGCTTAAAGAGACAGGAGCATCTACTGCTTGTTTAAGAGGCTGAAATGAGAGCTTGCATGAAGTTTAGCAATCCAGTTTAGCATCAGCCTTCAACAGCCAGCATTCACACCGAAATTTCTCTGGAAATTGCACTGTCTAGTTTCATGTAATGTTTTAAAAAGAGAAAAAGCAACACAACTTAATTAGCTGTTGTAATGTTTAAAATAATTAAGCCGAGCATTGTATTGATGCTTGGGCTACATGTTTAATGCGGTTGCCTAGTGCCTGTGTCGGACAGCTCTCCTACGTCTGCTGACAGCAGAGAATCTGCGAGGTCTCCTGGGTCTGCGAACAGGGCGAGAGGCGTGCATGCGTCTGCGTGGCATTGTCAAAAAACAGCTTGCTGGATGAAACGGCTTCTATTTATAAACTCACCGTGGCAACATCTGTGATGTCACTGATGATGTCACAATTTCTTTGTGACAAATGCTGAGTCAACCATTCGTGACATCACTGTATTCCATGATGTCACTGACAATGATGTCATTAATGATGTCACAATTTCTGTGATAAATGCTGGCTCAGTGTTTAATGATATAACAGGGTTTGATGATGTCACAGATGATGTCACAATTTCTGCAATGGAAATGATGGTTCAATCATTCATGACATCATTGGAATCCATGATGTCACTGATGATGTGACAACTCCAGTGAGACAATCGATTACATCATCAAAGGAACTTCATGATGAGGCCGATGTAATGAAAGCCTCCCATGAACGCTCCAGATTCTTCATCAGTGTTTATGCGGCTTCAGGTTTATTTCTAAGGGCAGCTGAGTTCTGGACAGTCTGGAGTCGATCAATAGATTTTTGGGTTAAGCAGGTGAAAAGGCTCTTGCAATAATCCAGGCGTGTTGAGATGAAGGCGTGTAAAATCGGTGTCCTTAAAAGTTAACATAGATCGAATTTTAGCTATATTTCTAAGTTGATAAAAACATGATTGAACAAGCTTTGTGGTGTGCTGCTCGAAATTTAAATTACTATCAAACCAAACACCAAGGTTCTTTGCCACATGCTTAATGTGATTTACTAGGGAACCAGCAGATGGCAGTATTTGTTTTGCCATCTGCTGAGACCCGATGACCAGGATTTCTGTTTTGTCTGAGTTCAGCTGGAGGAAATTATTTGACATCCATTTTTTAACTTCACAAAGGCAGTTGTTCAATGAACTCAGCATTCCAGGGTCTGTGGATCTGACGGGCAAGTATATTTGTGTGTCATCAGCATAAATATGAAAAGAAATGCCATGTTTATGGATAATATGTCCAAGGGGAAGCGGATACAAGGAAAACAAAATGGGTCCTAAGACCGACCCCTGAGGCACACCATATTTAACTGGACAGAATGAGGAGACATAGTTGTTTACAGACACACAAAACTTCCTATTTGACCGGTAGGATGAAAACCATTCTAGGGCAGTACCAGAGATCCCCACCCAGTGCCTCAGTCTGTCTAACATGATGTTGTGATCAATGGTGTCAAAAGCAGCGCTAAGGTCCAGGAGTACAAGGACTGAGCACATGCCTTCATCAGCAGACATTAAAAGGTCATTGGTGACTTTAAGCAGGGCAGTCTCAGTGCTGTGGTACTTCCTAAAACCAGACTGAAACTTTTCAAATAATTTGTTATTTTCCAGTACAGTGAGCTGCTGTTTGGACACAATTCTTTCTAGAATCTTTGCAATAAAAGGCAGTTTTGAAATTGGTCTAAAATTATGTGGGAGGGAGGGATCTAAACCAGGTTTCTTTAAAAGTGGGTTCACGCAAGCCGTTTTAAAATAATCAGGGACACAACCAGTAGATAGGGAGCTGTTGAAAACAGAGATCAAATGGGGCCCAACAGAATCCATTACTTTCAGTAAAAATTTTGTAGGTATTACATCAAGTGGGCTGGAGGACACTCTCATTTGTGGTACTGTTTTTAAAAGCTCAGACAAGTCGATGGATAAAACTGGTTAAAACTCTCTTGTTGCTGGTGAGGGACCTCTGAGTAAGAGGCCGCGGGGGTAATAGAGGCTCTGATTGACACCACCTTATTGGTAAAATAAGATAAAAACAATTCACAGTCATCATTACTTCCAGCTGAGGCACAAGGAGGGCTTGGGTTTACCAGCTGATCCACAGTCTTAAACAGAAACCTGGGATTGTGTTTATGTGTAGTAATGAGTTAAGAAAAATAGTGTGTTCTCGCATCCTTAACCATGTTATTGTAGTTAATTAATAAATCCTTCAGACTGAGGTAATGGACTTGGAGACTGGATTTTTTCCATCTGCGCTCTGCTTTCCTGCATTCCCTTTTTAGGCTGCGAATGCTGTCATTTATCCAGGGTTGCTTACTAGCTTTAGACGTAGGCCTAACCTTTAGAGGAGCAGTAATATTTAGTGACGACAAGCAGTCGAAGTGATCGACCAGATTGTTGGTGTTGGAATCAGACAGGTGTTGGCTTTGGCTCTGATAGAATGCGCAAAACTTTGAAACACTTTGTTCATTAAAGATGCGAGAACACACGGAGCTTGGTGAGGCGGCATGAGTAACAGGCGAATCGCAGCTAAAAACAATACATCTGTGGTCAGATATGGTCATGTCCACTAATTCCACAGAGGAAATGCTGACACCCAGGGTAAAAACCAAGTCCAGTGTATGACCACGGTTATGTGTTTGCCCTTTGACATGTTGTTTGAAGTTAAAAGAAGTGGCCATATTTAAAAAGTTAGTTGCATTAACATTGTTGGGGTCATCAACATGAATATTAAAATCGCCACAAAGAACAATTCTGTCAAAATTTAAAACCAGAGTAGATAAAAATTCAGGAAGTTCTGATAAAAATCCTCCAGGCGGTTTTGGGGGGCGATAAATTATAACAAATATGACAGGTTGCAGCCCTCCAACTTTAAGAGTGAGAACTTCAAAGGAGTTAAATTCATCACAGCGTACTTGATGACATTTTAAATTTTTCTTATACACGCTCACTAACCCACCACCACGACCACTGACCCTCGGTTGACTAAAACAATCATATTGAGGCGGACACAGTTCAGCTAGCTGGCTATAGTCATTCATTTGCAACCAGGATTCAGTTAAAAACATAAAATCTAGATTTGCAGACAAGATAAAATCATTTAAGATAAAAGTCTTACTTGAAAGTGATCTCACATTGAAGAGAGCCATTTTAAATGAGTTTGTTCTGGGTGCTGGAGTTGGTGCAGTTGTCCTAATCCTTAAGAGATTACTAATATTTCTGTGTGGGATGTGCACATTTCGGTTTACTGGTCTATGCGTGATGATGACAGCAATAGAAGTCTTTGGAACAGCGCTGGGAGCAGACGGCTTTACATGCCAGCAGGTGGAGACAGTTGTTTGTGGCAGTGAGCCAGAGATCTGTTCAGTGAGCGGTGGTGCGTCCAGGTGTGCTGCATGAATGATTAGTCATTCACGTAAGTCATGTGTGGACCGCACCACATGCTGTATGTGAGCAGCTAACATTTCTGAGCCCCGTTTGTTTGGGTGAAGTCCGTCTGTCTTAAAAAGAGACATTCTTTGCCAGAAAATATTAAAGTTATCCACATAACACACCCGATGAGCCCTGCAGGTGGACTGGAGCCAGTCGTGGAGGCCAAGGAGTCTACTGAAGCGGCCAGCACCGCGACCAACTGTGGGAATGGGACCAGAGACAAAAACAGACTTTCCACACTGCTTTAAAAAGTTAAGAAGACGGTTAAAAACTGATTTTGTCAGCTCAGACTGCTGAAGAGCTGTGTCATTTGTTCCGACATGGACTATCACTCTTGTGATGGAGGACGGGAGCGACGGCATCAGGTCCTGGAGTTTTTATAAAATGTCAGCCGTGGTGGCACCGGGGAAGCAGTGAGTGGTAGCGTTAAAGAAACGGATGTTTCTGGTTATGGAGAAAAGAGGACGAGGAGATGCCGGTTGTGGGGTTCCAGAGCAGGACTGAGCAGAATCTGCTTCTACACTGTGTGCGGACTGAGGATGGAGTGTGTGTGTGAGCACCGGAGTGTCGTTAGACAGGGCTGCATAGCGGTTGGAGAGGCCGATGTGCGGAGGAGAGGCAGCCCCATCCGAGCCTCTCTTGCAGCCACAGACCACCACTTCAGCCCAGGTTGACTGATGCTTCGGAATCGAGCAGGATGAAAGCCTGGGAAGGCTAGAGGGGTCCCAAAACACGGTGTCCTGGATGTTAGCGGTTGCGCTAAGAGAAACAATCTGTTTGGCTTGTACTGAAGCTGCATCCATAAAGCCAGTCAGCAGGGAATCTTTCGCTTTGAGTTCCTCTGAAAGTCGTCGGATGTCTTCCATAAGGTCAGCAATCTTCTTGTTCGCTTTCTTAAGGAGTGTGCAGTCCTCATGGGGCAGAGTTATTTCGGCTATCATAGTCACCGGAGCTTTGTTGCGATCAGTAGCGTTGATCGCGTTTTTACGGTCATCTAGCTTAAAATCCATGTCGGATGACTAAAATCCTTAACCCACGTAAAACTTAAGTTAAAAACTTAAGTTAAATAAGAAGGATATAAAAAAGGTAACGAAAAAGAATGGATTAAAACTGGATAAAAGTTCGGTTTAAGACGGAGCTTCCGACAGGCGGCTACAGACGCCAACGCATGCGCAGAGTGCAGATTACGTCAGCAATTACGTCAGTGATTAATGGGTGTGTATTGCATGAGTTAGAGTGGGTGACATCATCGCTAGAGGGCAGGCATCTTGAAATTTCATCTTAAAAATTTCTCTTTAACTCGCTGCCCTGACCACAATTTTAACTCTTCAAACATCATTTCATACTAGAAATGTAGGTATTTTTGTTGTGGTTCCTCACATGTGCTTATCAAATCCCTCGGACTTATAGATTTGGCGCTATGCCCTTCCAAAGGACAAGAGCGCCAGCCAACTCCTCCATAGGCTGCCATTATAAATTCTCCTCGCGCTTTAAACTTTACTGAAAGGGAGAACACATGTATGTATAACTGTGTGTCCCAGCAGGCGCACAGACACACACACGTTAAAGGAGACTTATTAGGCTTCTTATATTTTCTGTCTTATCTATAATGTTACAGTGTCAGATGTTCATGTTAAACGTGGCCAAAGCTCCACTCTTGGCACTTAATGATGTCATACAGAGCTAGTTTTCCATATATGGTCATTTACCTGCAGCCTCAATAACAACTGGCAACTCCTATGCTTATTTTTTCTCTACTGCTGAGAGGCATAATCATCCTGCTTCAGGATCTTGGCCAATCAGAACACAGTGGGCTTTTGGAGAGGGGAGGGGGGGAGCTTAAAGAGACAGGAGCATCTACTGCTTGTTTAAGAGGCTGAAATGAGAGCTTGCATGAAGTTTAGCAATCCAGTTTAGCATCAGCCTTCAACAGCCAGCATTCACACCGAAATTTCTCTGGAAATTGCACTAGTTTCATGTAATGTTTTAAAAAGAGAAAAAGCAACACAACTTAATTAGCTGTTGTAATGTTTAAAATAATTAAGCCGAGCATTGTATTGATGCTTGGGCTACATGTTTAATGCGGTTGCCTAGTGCCTGTGTCGGACAGCTCTCCTACGTCTGCTGACAGCAGAGAATCTGCGAGGTCTCCTGGGTCTGCGAACAGGGCGAGAGGCGTGCATGCGTCTGCGTGGCATTGTCAAAAAACAGCTTGCTGGATGAAACGGCTTCTATTTATAAACTCACCGTGGCAACATCTGTGATGTCACTGATGCTGTCACAATTTCTTTGTGACAAATGCTGAGTCAACCATTCGTGACATCACTGTATTCCATGATGTCACTGACAATGGTGTCATTAATGATGTCACAATTTCTGTGATAAATGCTGGCTCAGTGTTTAATGATATAACAGGGTTTGATGATGTCACAGATGATGTCACATCATTGGAATCCATGATGTCACTGATGATGTGACAACTCCAGTGAGACAATCGATTACATCATCAAAGGAACTTCATGATGAGGCTGATGTAATGAAAGCCTCCCATGAACGCTCCAGATTCTTCATCAGTGTTTATGCGGCTTCAGGTTTATTTCTTTTTTCATGTAATGTTTTAAAAAGAGAAAAAGCAACACAACTTAATTAGCTATTGTAATGTTCAAAATAATTAAGCTGAGCGTTGTTTTTATGCTTGGGCTACATGTTTAATGCGGTTGCCTAGTGCCTGCGTCGGACAGCTCTCCTACGTCTGCGGACAGCAGAGGACCTGCGAGGTCTCCTGCGTCTGCGAACAAGGCGAGAGGCGTGTCTGCGTCTGCGTGGCATTGTCAAAAAACAGCTTGCTGGATGTAACGGCTTCTATTTATAAACTCACCGTGGCAACGTCTATGATGTCACTGATGATGTCGATTGATGACAATCGATTACATCATCAAAGGAACTTCATGATGAGGCCGATGTAATGAAAGCCTCCCATGAACGCTCCAGATTCTTCATCAGTGTTTATGCGGCTTCAGGTTTATTTCTTTTTTCATGTAATCAAACTCCAAGTTGTTCGGCTCAATGGGAAATGGGGTGCTATTACTTTTGTCATTGATCCCTTGAATACTTTCCAAAATATTCAAGGTTTTCCAGGAACATTTTCCCGTTCTAAGTGAATGGAGAGACTGTCAAAATCCTCCTCATACCTACTCCACTTTGAAAGCTCACCAGTTCAGCATTCTTTCAGCTACAGACTTGATTTAAACTGCAAATTGGTCACAAGAAGTTACGCTATTAATGATGTATTCAGCGTTTTGATATATTTTTATGGTTTGTTCACTGTTGCTGTGGAAGTTTTATGCTGATTAAAGATCAAAGGACTGGGTCCTCTGTTCTGATTGGTGGACTGAATTTAAGCTATTTTCTGCACACCTGTTTGTGTCCTCTTCACTGAACACATACACAGGCACATTAATACACTGACAGACACAATTTTAACTCTTCAAGCATACACACACAAAAACACACACACACACACAGAGCCCTCAAAGCATGGAGCTTTAAACTTTACTGAATGGGAGAACACATGTATGTATAGATGTCTATTAAGATTCTCAGTCATCCAGGTCATAGTTATCTAACAAAGGTTAAAATCAAGGGCAACTGGACTTGGTTGAAGATACTGGAAGACGTTTCGTCCCTCATCCAAGGGACTTCTTCAGTTCTGACTGACTGGCAGGGAAACTCAGCTATTTAACCTCAGTGGGGTCGTTGGCCCGGGTCATCGATACCGCTGGTTCGTTAGTGTTCCTTGTTGCTGTGACGACAGTCGTTACAGTCGTTAAGACTACCTGTGGCCAAGACTGAACGACCATCGTTGGTATCTTCACCTGAGGCCAATAGTTTACGTTTGTTGAGTTTCCAGCCAGGAAAATTGCAGACTACAGGAACCATCTACGATTCAACCTGAGATGCCGACAACACAAACTTATTCCCAACAGCCTACACTTAGGCTCCACGGTAAAAGGACACAGATCCGGAATAATCCTGGAGAAAGCACAACACCAGCTACTGAACGAGAGAGTGAGACAGATACACTTCACAATTGAAGCCCTGAACAAAGAAATGGACAACATACACCACAAACTAGAAACATATCTGCCCGTACATCACTGGGAAAGGTCATGGACTTCATCAAGAAAGCACAGCTATCTCAGCACAACAAGAGCAAAGAAAGACAGACCCGGAAATTCCAAAACCTACAGTCCAGAGCGAGCTGCACTAACAGAACAGGAGAATTGTCTTGGAGGAGAAAGGACAATAACCCCACAACACTTGAAACAGACAACAGATGGGTGAAAAACTTGTCAGATAGGGAACTCACCCAACCAGAGAAAGACGTTCTGGCCAAAGGACCCGGGCCAACGACCCTACTGAGGTTAAATAGCTGAGTTTCCCTGCCAGTCAGTCAGAACTGAAGAAGTCCTTTGGATGAGGGACGAAACGTCTTCCAGTATCTTCAACCAAGTCCAGTTGCCCTTGATTTTAACCTTCGTTGGATACATGTATGTATAACTGTGTGTCCCAGCAGGCGCGCAGAAAGACACACACAGACACACACACACAGACACACACACGTTAAAGGAGACTTATTAGGCTTCTTATATTTTCTGTCTTATCTATAATGTTACAGTGTCAGATGTTCATGTTAAACGTGGCCAAAGCTCCACTCTTGGCACTTAATGATGTCATACAGAGCTAGTTTTCCATATATGGTCATTTACCTGCAGCCTCAATAACAACTGGCAACTCCTATGCTTAGTTTGTCTCTACCGCTGAGAGGCATAATCATCCTGCTTCAGGATCTTGGCCAATCAGAACACAGTGGGCTTTTGGAGAGAGGAGGGGGGGAGCTTAAAGAGACAGGAGCATCTACTGCTTGTTTAAGAGGCTGAAATGAGAGCTTGCATGAAGTTTAGCAATCCAGTTTAGCATCAGCCTTCAACAGCCAGCATTCACACCGAAATTTCTCTGGAAATTGCACTGTCTAGTTTCATGTAATGTTTTAAAAAGAGAAAAAGCAACACAACTTAATTAGCTGTTGTAATGTTTAAAATAATTAAGCCGAGCATTGTATTGATGCTTGGGCTACATGTTTAATGCGGTTGCCTAGTGCCTGTGTCGGACAGCTCTCCTACGTCTGCTGACAGCAGAGAATCTGCGAGGTCTCCTGGGTCTGCGAACAGGGCGAGAGGCGTGCATGCGTCTGCGTGGCGTTGTCAAAAAACAGCTTGCTGGATGAAACGGCTTCTATTTATAAACTCACCGTGGCAACATCTGTGATGTCACTGATGCTGTCACAATTTCTTTGTGACAAATGCTGAGTCAACCATTCGTGACATCACTGTATTCCATGATGTCACTGACAATGATGTCATTAATGATGTCACAATTTCTGTGATAAATGCTGGCTCAGTG